CAATGAGTGTGTATATGTCCATGAATGACTGAAAAATTGTGCTGAACACTGGAATTTGACACAACATTGTAAAATGATTATAACTCAATAAAAAGTGTTAAAAAATAAAAAAAATAAAAATAAAAATTGGTGAATCTGAAAAAAAAAAGAACTCCATTTCTATCTATGTCTATCTATGTCTATCTATCTATCTATCTATCTATTTATCTATCTATCTAATCTTTCTATCTATTGATATATCACTGTATTTACTAAACCTTGGTATTCAGGACAGTAAACATTAAAAATAAAGGAAAATGTTAATTCAGTTTCTCCTTAATAAATCCTTTAAAACCATTTGACCATCTCTGCCTAGATTTTCCAAAGGCATTTCAAACTCACCAGTGTCTAAACGAGAACTCATCAGTTTCCCCCCTCTCTAACTCTAGTTTTCCTGTTAACAACATTTGGTCTAAAATCCTGAATGATGATGGATTTTGAACTCTCACTTAGCATCCTGATGGATTATTTCTTCTAAATATCTTAAAATCTATTCACTCTTCTCAATTTATATTCATTATTTATATTACATTTATTATTATATATTTATTTAAGATCCTCCATTGTGGATACATTGCTAATTTATATTTCAAGTTCTAGCATGGAACCCAAGTCTAGTGTATATGCTAAACAAGTGCCCATTAAATTAAATAAATGAATGACTAAATCTGTGATGAAGTCCAAAGAAGTAAAAAACAGTGGGAAAGTAAAGATGTGGAACACTCATAAGGACAAAAAAATACACCATTATGAGATCAGGACATTGGCAATATTTTCTAAAAATGCACTATGTATTTATATTTATATGTATGTATCTTATGGATATCACCTTGAAAAAATATTTTGCATTGACAGGAAATATATTCAGAGGAATTTAAATATACTATATTTCAACTTATGTGAAGTACTGAAATATTTTTGTACACTGATTTTTAAAGTCCCTAATGTTATTACTTTGTACTTACAAATTAGTCTTCTGGAATTTATTGAATACCTAAAATGGGCAATGCACTTTGTTAAGTTCCATAGGGGAAACAAAATATAGGCCCTGACATGGTTTACAGCCTTAAGCTAAAACTTCAGAGTTATATTGAAAATGTCTTAAATGTGAACCAGAGAGGATTCAGTAAGTTTTAATATGTGAAACCCTCTTTTCTTCGGTGTCCCTTGGGACTTGATGACTGATCATGGCCATTGGAAGCTATGCTTTCACACTGTGTTACAGGGCATAGAGCAAAACACAGTCAAGACACCGATAATACCCATCTGTTAGATATTTTCTAATTTATCATTAAGAGACTTTTAAATTCCTTTCAGATATATAAAAAGTAAATCAGAAAAGCAATGCATTTATAGCTTTTTAGATATCAGAGAAAGAAATCTTATGTAGAGTTAATAAATAAATGAATCATGGAATTCATATACTTATACATTTCTTTAACTAAGACTGTGCATAAACTCTACGATAAAAAAATTTAAACTGAGCTCTATAAACGTATCAGAAAGGATTAAAATAATTACCACCAGAACTGTTCTTAATCATTAAATAAGTACATTAAAATATAACTCCAAATACAATAAAATATAATTATTTTATATTATAATATAAATAACCCTAGACCAAAATATCATTCTTCATAAAATAGTTTCAAATGCAAATAGTGATGTCTTTAGCAGCATATTCTGAATTATAAAGTAAAATGTAATTAACTGAATTTGGCACATATATATAAACATAATACTTTGGTGATTAAAATGTTCAGCAAGCTTGTTATGATAATTTCCTGTAAAGTGTTAATTAAATATTTAAAATGTACACAAACATAGCGAAGAATATTGATTTATATAGAAAGCTTACTAATCTCGGTAGATCTACTAGGTACTGGAGGTGGCTGAGTGCCGTTGCGAGTAGGTATTGAAGACTGGTGTGATATTGGAGAAAATGGAATCATGTCAAAGATGTCAGTGGATGGCGACTTAGGTGTCACACTGCCTGCCTGCAAAGAAGATAATAAAATTAGGGCAGTATTCCATGTAGACAGATTATAAAGCTAAGTATATCATATACATATAGAACATATATAAACACAACAACAAATGCAGTTGAGTCATATGAACTTGCCATTCTGTAGATCAAAAATAGTTAAATATTGCCAATTTCATATGATTGGACCACTTATGTGCCAAATGCTCACTGGCAAGAAAATTTCTGTGATGGCAAAAATGGTGACAATACTATTCTAGGTGGATACAAAAGATATATTGGATTTTTTGCATATGTAGAAATAACTGGCATTTGTATTAGAGTATTGAAAACATGTTAGAAATTATGTAAAAACATGATTTTAGTAACGTATTTTGCATAAGATTATATGTTTTAGACAGAAATAACTGAACATAAGTGATGCATCTTCTTAAATATAACCATTCAAAAGCAATTGATAACAATTTAAAAAAAATTAGGGAGTCTATTTCAATTTGTTTATAACTATAATGGCAGTCAACTATCATATTCATTGCAGTGCCTTTTATTCTTGGAATAAGATTTCATCAAGTTTTCGACAATAAACAGCTACTTTGTGAAATAAATTATAATCATTAAAATATACCACGAAAATCATTAAGTTTCTTTGGGCCAATCTGGACTAGGACGTAACATAAGAATGAGAAAATCATTACTTTGATTGTCATACAGGAAAAAATATACATATGTATTATATATCATTTATTAAAGAAAGAGAATTCCCATCTTGGAGAGAAATACTGAGGAAAAATTTACCTATCCTATAAGAACATGGACATTGTTTGGAATTGCTTAGCGGTTCATATTAAAATTTGTATTTTTAGAATACTTTCATTTTTCGGCTTCACAGATGATGCAGGTAATGAAGAAAACAAAGCTGATTATGTGTAATGAGTGATGGATTTGCTATTCACCTAACATGACTATTAGTATATTTTTTTCATGCAGAAAGATTGCTGTCATCTCCCCTTCTTTAACAATTTAACGGTTTACTGTATCAGTCCTAAGTACCATCCCAAAGACTCAGAGCCAAATTTATCCCTCAGCTCTTTCCTCCTACTCAGGAATATTGTTCTAATCATCCTATCCTTCTGTTTCATCCGGCTTCCATCCCTCTCTTCTTTCTCTAAAGATATCCAAATATTGAAAGTTCTTAAAAACAAAACCAACCAACCAAAAAGGCCTTTACTCGGTGCCTCGTTACTTCTCTAGTCTCTCATCTCCCTTTCTCTTCCCTTCAAAGCTGAGCTTCTCCAAGGAAGTACTACATTTTTTGCCTTTTACTTCATCCAGTCCTCAACTCATATCATTCTAGACTTTGCTCTTTTTGCTGAACTCTACTGACAGCTTTTGCCAATATCACTAATGACTTAATTTCCCAACTGCCATATCTGATGAATCCCTGGAAGTACTTATCCTATTTCATCTTTTTGTTGATTTGTACCACCCTCTCTACTAGAAGCTCTCTGATACTGATGACCAAAGGATGCAAAAGTGGCACACAAAGGTCCCAGATTGCATCACATCGATTCAAGACATACCTGAATTTTTTCATTACTATATAAATGGCATATTTTGGAGGAATTAAAAAAATAAGTGGGAAAATAAAGAGAATTTTCTGTTTAGTGAATTACATGAGGTCTTGGGATGCTGCTCTCACTGACTGGCTTGGGAAGGCCACATTTAGAAGGTGGTGGTATTAATAGTCCCAGTGACAGTCTGGAATCAGGCGAGTTGACAGGAGTGACAGTAATGGAAGAAATATTTAGACAGGGAGATGAATCATCAGTATTACGCCAGAAAGAGGGTGAGCATCTCTGAAACCCGTGTTGCTCATGATCAGACATTTTGTGCCGCAGCTGTAAAGGAACAACAGAGAAATATACTAAGGAGAAGAAAGAAGACACAGAAGAAAAAAGAAAAAAGTATATATGAATTTATTTATAAAGGGATATTTTGTGAAAATGATGTCATTCCAAAATAACTTTACTAAAGTTAAATTGTTTGAGTAGATTTCCCTATTGCAAGTCTTTCATTCTAGATTGTTTAATTTGATTTTTCACTGAAATATTGCATTTTTACATATTTAAATAAAATATTGCATTCAATATGACTTGTGAGGAAGACACTGGAGAGGAAAACGACAAATGGTTGAAGATTTCTTTCTAAGAGAGCCTCTATGTAATGAGGGTGGGGAGGAAGGAAAGCAACAACAAAAAAAAGTCACTGAAGTAGGAATAAAGTCTAGTCAAAAGTTAGGACTTTGTAGAATTTTCAAAAAGGGCTACAACATACATTTTAGATTAAATCCTCAAAACATTCTTTTGCAGTATTAGTCATATTATGTCCTTATTATAATAAAGATAGGGAAATCAAGGCACATTGACTCTTTGTTACTTACTCCTCCTTAAAGTAAGATGCAAAACCAAAATTCAAAACACCCTGACTCCAATCATGCCCTTTCTATAGGTAGTCAGTTCTAAATAGTACAACTTTTGTGGGATGTGCTGAGGGAGTTGTCAAGCATCCCAGTAAATCAGAGAGATAACAAATAATCAGATAAAAAGCAAATAGTACACTGTCCTGAGTCTGCACATTAGTCTTTGGATGACTTTTGGGAGCTATTTCCATTACATCACGGAAAGCTACTGTCAAGAACTGAGTGGCCAGAGCAGTCAGTTAAAACAACCAAAATAAAAACATGTAATAATTGAGCCTTTATTCACTTACTGGGATAGTGTAAGCAAGAGGCCAGAAAGAAGGTGCTGGCCACATCAATGTCCCATTTTTTCCCAGTGAATGTCACTGGGCAAAGGTCAGATGTATCAGGACAGAAGTAAGACATTCTCTCTCCTGAGGGAGCCCTGAACAAAAGGTTTCTGCTGATTGTGTGTGTGTGTGTGTGTGTGTGTGTGTGTGGGCGGGGGAGGGGGGTGCTGCTGGTGGGGAGAGCAGAGGGAGGAAAAGGGGAAAGAACTAAGAGTAGAAAATATTGAAAACTGAGTTAGTGGAGAAGTATCTTCAAAACCCCCCAAACGGTCTGCGTGAGGCATTTAAGAGAGGCCTTGGCCAAGGGCCTCCAACAAGACCTCTGAATGAAGGCAGCTGGGCGAGGAGGCAGCTATGCACGAGAGTTGTGCTGGCCTGGGTGGTGAAGGGGGCTGAGTCCCTGACTGTAACTCCTCCACGCACTGCACTAAATCTGGGGTGGCTTGGGCAGCTTTCCCCCCATGAGTCTTGCCTCGAAAAGCCTTTGTAGCTTCGCAGGGCCTGGTAGATTTGGCCTGGAGCCAGACTTCTCAGCTATAAGTCACACTGCAGAGATTTTCCAGCACTAATAGGACTTGGAGGCAGCCAACACAAATCTGGCTTTTGATAAACCTCGTGGTGAAAGGTTGTAATGAAAATTATGGTTAGGAGAACCAACAAGTTTGAAAGAAGTCTTTAAATTAGGAGTTACCTCCTCACACATTTCAGGAAGCAGAGGGGAAACAAGGCAGCGTAAAGTGAGATCTAAGTTGAGGAAGGAATTCAGTAAGGAAGCAAATCTCTGATGGTCTGAATTTATAATTTATCACTATTAATATGTATATATAATTATGTAATTATTGCTTTCTCTATTGATCTTTATAGTGATCTACGTAAAGATATATATACATGTATGTGCATATGTATGTAAATTTAAAATCCATTTTGTAGTCTACATAGTTCACTGTGTAATTCTGTAATTACACCTTTTACTTAATTATAGGTAACAACTGTAAACTTGTGGACAAAATTTTGTTTTTCTAAAATACTCTGTACTACATTAGAGTACTTGATATGTAATAAGCTATCAATGAATATTTATTGCCTAATTTACACTACAGCCTTTTTTTTAAACTTAAACTATAAATTGGTAAGAATGTCTATCCTAAATTTGACACAACATTGTTAAATGATTATAAATCAATAAAAAATGTTAAAAAAAAGTCTATCCTTAAAAAAAAAAGAAAAAGAATGTCTATCCTGAGTAAAGCATAAAAGATACCCAGTGGAAGTTGTCCTCGGTATCACCTGGCTTATAACATAAATGGGAATATTTTATATTGTTTTACAACTTGTATAGACCGAAAATCTTTACCAAGTGTCTCAGCACAAAATGAAGGCCAAAATAACCTAACTTAAAAGTGCTGTGGTGTTTTATCATGGTGTTAATAATATGCATTCTAATTCCTCTAAGAAGGGACACTTACACAAACGAAGAATGTATGTAATATAAAAATAATCAAGTATTTGAATACCCCAACTAAGAGGTATTTTCACATTCAGAATGGTCAAGCGGGGATAGCCATCAAGAGTTTTGGTAGCTAAAGTTTAAGACTCTAATACTATCTGACTATTACAAGTTGCCTTTGGGTCATCAGTAATCTAGATTGGTCACCTGGGCTTTTTTGTTTGAGTCACACAGGTCTTTAAAATATTGATTCACTTCCTTGCAAGCTAAGAGCTTATACATTGAAGTCCAGAGAGTTTGAGAAGTTAAAAAATCTAGAATGTGGGCTCACGAAGATGCATCAAAATAACGAACTGTTGTTTAGTATTCGCTGGATCTGTTAAATTGGTGTATGCTTTCCGATTCCTCACCACTGCAGCATGCCCATTTCCTACATCTATGCCACAGCCTGGGCTCTGCTGACATTTGAGTCTGTGCTCCTAATTTAGAAAAAATTTAAGTCAAGGAATTAGATGTTTCATCTGATTCCTTATAAGAGTGAAATCTAAGCCTAGCATATTTAGGCCATTAGGCCTATTAAATAAGAATAAGAACATGTAAATAAAGCCCCTATGACATACAGTGGCATTTTTGGCACTGCATAAATATTTGAGCGATGTCTCTAAATTTAAGGGTCCAGGAATTTGTCATTTTTTAACCTTCCATTTTTAACTGGTTGAAATACTTATTTTTTTAAGAAATTAAACACATAGTTCAGACGAAAACAGTCTGATATTTTTATGATGGGCCTTCTGTCGGTATTTTGACAGATGGCTAGAAACCAAAATTTTGGGACTTTCCTACAGAAGTTTATGGCACTACTGTTTAACTAACCCTTTTATGCTCACAATTCTAAGTGCTTTGGTGTTTAGGAAGGTGCACAGCTTCTGAATTATTACACTAAGGGGAATGAGGAATTCTATGCTCAACAACTACATGTTAATTATGCAGAAGTTGTTAGGTTATTAAGACATATTTATAATGAGTCCTTGTATTTGAGATTCACAGCTGTTGCAGTTTTATAGCTCTTTCAGTAAGTAGGGGCTTGGTACATTAGGCCATAGTGAATACTTCAGCCCTGAGCTTTGCTAAATATGACAATGATGAAATGTCATAAAAGGGTTTGAATCCTATCAGATAATGTTGAATACATTTAAGCAACAATAAAAAAACTGGATTAGCGATTAAATGCTTCTGTGATAATATTTCTAGAAATATTAGAATGATACCAAAATTTTATTTAATGCTGTTAATTGTTTCAGCAATACAAACCTCCAAAGACCCTTTCAAAATGTAAAACAAATAATTTTAAGATTAAAATATGATTTATCATAATTATTAAAATAGTAGAAATTTAAAATTTTCTACTTAGAACTAAATTTAAAAAGTAAATTATTTAAATTTATATTTTAAATCTAGATGCCTAAATGAAATTCTTCCAGATAAAAAACTGGGTAGATTATGAAAAACACTAAATATGGGGAAATATAAAGGCAATGCAAAATGTCCTAGCAAATCCTTCCATATTGCCATGTTGATTCATTCTTTTGAAGTTCACTATCAATGGCACGTTTGCAACATCACTTTTTATATAAGCTTTAAAAGTAACCACTTCTAGAATTTAGAATTTATAGCACTAGATATGCTATTTTTTTCAGACTTCTAGTTACAAAGTTCGGTTATATTGGTCTCTTACCTGTAAGACCTATATATTCTTACAAGAATCTTGCAAGATAAATGGATGTCATCACCTACATATCCCAAAGAAGAAAACTGGAACAAGGAGAGATTAAGTGACTTAATTAGGTACTCACTGCCAGAACTGGAATGAAATATATTTTTCTTCCCATTATACAAGGTTTATTTCTTTAGAACCATCATTTGTGCAAGTAACCATGGTGAAAGTGAAGTTGTGAACCAGTCATCATTTTTTTCTGGGCAACACATGCTCTTGAATCAATGTTCATGTTTAAAATTTCTATCTTTGTTTAAAGATTCACATTTGGTTTGTTGTGTAATTGAGTTTTCACAATCTCCTCTTGTCCATCTTGACTTCAATAGTAGTTGAGAAAACACCAGAGGAAGATAAACTGGTGGTTTTATTTACCCAGGATGAAACACACATTTTAGGTTATAATTTGTCCTATCAAGTCTAATCAGTGGCCACACAGTTGATTATGTAAAGGTAGAATTTTATCCAGTAATACTTGGTTTAATTGAAAGGGAGACATTTATTTTACTCAGCAATAGAAAGTTCAGTATATCTTAGGACTACAATTCTATTCATTTAACTTCCTGGCAATAGTCAGATTTGGTTAAAACCTTCTATAGCTAGAAAAATAAAATGTAAGCATCCGGACGCAAGAATCAAGGAGAACAATTTGATTTAACTTGCTATGCCCACATCTTACAATGGAACAATTTTCTGCAGGCGTTCATAAGGCTAGGAGGGCAGAATAAACCCTTTTTTCTGATATAAATACAGAAAGCACTGCCATGTGAATGCAATAAATGGAAATCAGATTGTCCCCAGATAATTAGTACCAAATGGTGGAAAACCCAACCTCTAATCTATTGCCAAACCACTAGAGCACAGCAGAAAGC